AACAAATGATTTTATTTTTTATTTATGACTTTACTCCACCTCAATCCAAGCAACTCTAGGCAACCCGCAGATACCAATAATAAAATTATTGGTAATGTTGAGTTAATCTAATAAGATGATCTGTTTGTTTGATAACATGGATGTGATTAGTTATGAAAATTAACTGGATGAAATTTGAATTCTGTCAAATGGATTGAAATGATTTAAGGTTGGACTTTATTTTGTTAAAGAGATTGATTGATGGATGGATTAGATACGTATAGGATAGATTAATATTTTATTTTAAATAAGGGATATTAGTGGAAGAATAAATAAATAAGATCTATGATAAAATTAAGGAATTAGAATATATTTGGAAGGGATACCCGAACTGATAATGTTTGTACTTAAAGTTATTTTGATTGTGGTAGTGTAAATTTATAAAGCTTTAAAAACAGGTTTAGGTTGAATAAATTTAAGCTAGAATTGGATTATTTTAAATAAAATACGTTACCTTAAGGGAAAAAGAGAGGGAATATTTGATGTATTGATTGAATTATGTATATATGTTTTGTCTGCGGATGTTCGACCACCCTAACACCACGGTGTGTCTTGAGTACTTTGTTTTAAAAATAAAAAAACCAATAAAACTTGCCTTTAAAAAAAAATTATACAGTTATAAGTAGAAAATGGTACCCAAAGGCATTTCAAAGAACTAGGTTTTTCTCAGTTTCTCCAAGATCACAAGAGTAGAGCCCATCCTTGTCTGTCACAGGAGAGCTCCCATACAGAATGACTGTCTTTCCCCCCTCCTATTGTACTTAAATAGCACTCTGGCCATCTGCACAAAAGGTGGTTTTACAGATACTCAAGCCCCAAGCTGATTGCAATCAGTATCTTGAATGGCACTTGGAAATGCACCAAAAGCTAGTACAACTTTGACAACCACAGTGTAATATTATCAATAGCATCATCAAGCAGTAGCTATGTGCTTCGCTATATATTCATGCTTTTGATATCAAATACATCTGTCTGGTATACAGCAGGTATAGAAAGTATAAATACAAAAAGACATTCAGATCAAAAAATGACATGGAATTCTACAAATAAGGTAGGGACATTCAAGGATTATGAAGACCTAATGGAGCTAACCAAGGCTAAAGGAAGTTAGAATGGCTATAGTGAATCCATTTAGAAAGTGGATTATAGAACAACTTTTGCAGAGAGAGAGAGAGAGAGAAAACAATCAACTCTGCCACAAGCAAATTTGGACAAAACTGGCAGATTTAAAAGCAGGTTCAAATGAAACACCACTTAAAAGCTGCAGAAGAGATAAGTGTTTACAACACTTCTATCCAATACATCAAGAGGTATTCCAAACATGGAATAGATCTATATGCAAAAAAGACTAGAAAAAATTATACCAATATATATTTATACCAAAGGGAGATAGAAGGGTATGCAAAAGCTATTAAACATGCATTAATTCCTCACACAAGTAAAGATTTGCTCATTACCTACAAAGATATGGAAGAGAGTGGATAGATAAGTTTCTAACAGGTTTTAGCTATGAGAGATCAGATAGCTAAGATACAATAGATATGCAAAGAGAAAAGGTTTTTTACCTTTGCTTGATTGATTACAGGATGACCCTTAAGTGTATGATACTACTGTAACACCTAGAATACCTGACTATTCTTTTGAGGAACCTTCGTAATGAAAAAAATGTAATAACAAAGTTTGGAGAAACAATATTTTAGAATAGGAACATAAATAAGAAATGACATTTTCCTCTATTTAACTTTTACATTGAACCAGGCAAACCAAATGACCAATCTCTATTGTACTGAACAATAATCAGAAAGCAGCCAATGCCCATAGTTTATACAGGCCTGCCAGAGGATGATGGGCTACAAAAAATCATCATCCTTTGCAACGTTGAAGGAAGAAAAGAACAACAGTAAAATAAACAGGATTAAGATGACTGTAGGAATGTCTTGGAAGACTAAAACTATTAGAACATATTGAACATTTTTCCATGCAGTCGATAGGTATCAGGCCCAATGGTATCCAACAAACTCATTTTGTTTCAGGCAAAATGTGTTTTGGGCTGGTCTTGCATATATTGGAGCTCTGAAAAAAATCTAAAATCCTGTACTCTAAGAAACACTTCATAATTCAAATTACTGTATAGTACATAAATTTACTTGGCTGTTCCAAGTGGTATCTCAGGAAATCACTGTAATCTAGAAAGCAAGAGCTTATAAATTAAATATTCTATTTTTCTTCTGAAACAAAAATGCAATTCCCTAATATAAGAACATTTTAATTCAAATTAAGAAATATCCAAATACATCAAGAGGTATTCCAAGCTTTCAAAATGAACTTTTCTGATTGATCTTTTTCCATTGTTATCCACAGATGTTTTAAGTCCACAACATCTAGTAACTGCTGTGGATATTGGCCAAATTAAGCTAAAGTGTTTTAGAATTCTGGGTAGCATCAGCTTGGAAAGTCTTCTTATTGCTAAATTGATACTTCCTAAGGCTTGTATCCAAAGTTATTCAAGCATTATATTACTGTATGAGTGAGATGTATGGCAGGGCAACTTCACTTGAATATCTTCCATTATCTAACCTTCCTGGTATAATTTAATTAAAACCCAAGATACCACAGCATTTAGACAGAAAGCACCTGAGAATAACTGATGTTTTTCCAATTGGGAAGCATGGATTAAAAGTGAAAAAATATCTTTCTTTCCTACTGACAGGAAACCCCATTCACAACTCTTAAATTTGAAAACCAAGATTTTTTACTTGAAGCGATATTGGTGCTTGTTATCATGATAGAATGTATTATTCCCAAGTAACATACCTTCATGCAGCAGACATGCAGAAGGCAAAATATATAGCCATTGTTTTAAAAATGCTAGACTATTTAAAAGGCTATTTATATGCTTTCTGAAATGTTCTCAGTATTCTGAGAATGGCTTTGCATTCAACCAAAAAATGTGTTAAATATTAATTCACATATTTCGCATTGCAGAATGCAACAGCAATGATTTAGACTCTAACTTCTGCATTTGTTTGCTTGAAATTTCAGTCCACCAGAAAGATGCAAAAATGGGGGGAAGGTTTTCAGTTATTAAGCACAATATGTTTCAAATTAAGTTACAGGTAAGTTTTGGAGACATGTTTTTCAGTAACAGAATATATATTGAAGCTTAGAAAAGACAAAGGTGCTCTTAAAAGATTTTGCAAGGGCTCCCTTACTGTGGTTAATATATTTATGTAACATTTTATCTATTTTTCAATTAAATGTTGTATGCTATCCAGGGTCACTTTTATGTGAGATGGGCAGCTGCACAAAAATAATAAAATGGATTTGGAAACATGCCTTTTGTTATCTTTGCAAAAATGCACATATGGTTTGCAATTGCCCTTTTCCGACATTTTTAACTTCTCAGTCAGTCTAGCAGCCTAAAATTCTCTTTGACAATTTCCCATTCAAGTATTGACAAGGTCCAATTTCAATATGCTTTTTAACCTAGTCAAGGGTCAGGCAAATGTTCCTATATGCCGAGATCCACACTTACCTGAAGAGTAAGTCACACTGTAATCAACTGAGTCATTACCAAATAGACATACATACAATTTATACTTCAAAGCATTTCATTTTTGAATTCTTGGTCTTTAGTGCTATATTTATTTTACATTGTTTTAACAAAATTTACCTGACAGCTAGCTATACTACTTCAAAAACGTGTATTTTTGATAGCATTTTCTGAATCCAACACTTTCAAAAAATTTCCAAACAGCTTTTACAGTGGCAAAACATTCTCTATCTAAAGATAGAGAAAAATGCACCAATTTGATTGAGTCTATTTATTAATAACTGACTAAGTCTAAGATAGAGATATGATAATTATAAATTTTATTTTGATGAAATGAGCAAGGAGATCAAGCACATATATCTGAACAGGCATGCACAGAAGCAGTTTCACGTTTAAACTATTAAAAATTACAGCATGAACCACTTGGCACCAATTATATATTTTAATTAAAACATCCAAAGGCCTGGGGATGGAATATCAGAAAAATGTTTCTCTTATCAAGGTAAGATGGCTACAAACACAATTTTAGTTAACCCAATCAATTCTCTTTACTGCAGCTAATGAAGAACTACTTTTAAAAGGTTAAAATTGTTGAGAAACAATTTTAACTGCAGTAACCATTTGCCATACTGGGTTCCTGAAGCTTAAATGTATGCTTTTATTTCCAACATACAACATACCATTCTTGACTATATAGTATACAACAGTATACTATACAATGGTATACAACATACCATTCTTGACTATATAGTTACCAATACTATTGCCACATGAGGGCGCTTTTAATTCCCATATCCATTCTACAACAATGATACAAGTTAAAACAGATACTATGCCAGGCTTTTGTCATCATCCCAAGATATAAACATTTTTGATAGCATATATTCAGTTAAGGAGCAAAGCTTAGCCTTACTTTAAAAGTATCTTTAGGATCAAATTGTAAAAGCAGCAGATCGAAATGTTTTGATCTAAGCTTTGAACCTACAAGCGCAATGATTTTTACTGTTTTTACAAGGTAAGAGTTTCTTTTTAATGTGCTGTTTAAGGAAATTTGTTTTTATTTGTAAACTTAATTTTGAAGATATCCTAAATTTTAAGAGAGACTTCATCCCTTCAAATTCATCTTATGTTAACAAGGAATTATTTGTTGAAAGTACTAGAATAGTCAAGAAGGGAGGTGGTTCTGGGTTGTCTCAATAAATAGCAGCTGACAACTGCTAAGGTAGAAGACAAAGCTCTTATTGTAAACATAGAACAATAGGCAACTGCACAGAAAACAGTACTGAGGAATATTATGCCACTGTATTTAGGAATAATTTGTGGATATTTTAATATTGCATTCCAATATTCTAGCTATAAATATGCTTGAACTTCTTATGTAGTAATGCTAGTTTCAAAAACAATCACCTGTGGTAACAGCATTGTGCAGCTTTATTAAATCACTTGGTTACAGTAATAGCTTAAGATTGACAGATTCTGAAGTGTAACAGATTCAGCATGAACATTACACTACATATTCAGTTCACAAAAATGTCAGAGCTGAACACAGCACTAGCCATCAATCCAGGAACAAATGCACTGGAATAGAAGAAATGCAACAAGATAGCTACACTGGAAAGACAACAGTTTAGAAAAAGAGTGAACATGAAAGGGCTCCCCTCTAATTCCCCAAATCAAGTGTACAGTCAGATCTAACTATACAGCTCTACATCAGTTTCTAGAAACTTAACAAAAAACACTGGCCAATACAGTCTTTGGATATTTAGACAAAGGGGAGAAGTTAGTTTCCAGAATGAAGTCAGTCGCTTTCAGTCTCACCAGGTTCTTTGCCTCCTTCTTTGTTCTTTCGTACTTCTTCAATATGCTTATCCTAGTAAAACAAAATTAAGAAAATGAGAAAACAGTAAGTTCTTCAGAAATTTTAATTCTACCCAAATTGGGGAGTTTAATTCAAAGTACTTTTCCTTAAACTAACACTGTCCAAATAAATTGGATTACAGCTAACCTGTGGCTATCCCTGTGGGGACTTCAGTGAGCAATTTCCCGATGGAAGGTGGAATGTACCAGATTGGTAACATTGGTATCAATAGGGCTTAAATAATCTACCTATAAAGTCTGTACAGATTGTATTCCATTTTTTCAGACTGTAGTAGTGATGGGCTCAATAATATAGTTTTCATCCAAGCTGGCTAGCTTTAAGATACACATATTAAGTTACATAAATAATCTTTTAATCCTGTGTTTTAATAGTTAGCTGCAGAGGACTATAATTCTCATTTGTAAATTATCCTATGTTTAAGGAAAACTACGGTAAGATACACTTTTGATGGAGTAGTTTTTATTGTTAAAATCTGTCAAAGCAGTTTAAAGCACAAAATCAAGCATTACTGTATTGTTTTACAGCATTTCTACAGTTTCAAAAGTGTTTTTTTTTAACTGAGCAAAGACTGGGTTTGATCCTACTACTCTATAAACATTAGATATTTGGACAGAGTCATGTCTAGATGAGTCTACTGTATTTGAATCTTCCTAATCTCAATTCATGATGTCTACTGGTGTTTTATATGGCTCTCGTTTGACCCACTTTTAAAAACAAGATTTTTAAAAAAGGTTTGTTATCAAATGTTATCATTAGTTAACTATCATCCTTGCCTTTTCTGGAATCCATATTACCCCCTTCCAAATACAAACTATTTTTTAAAAATCTCAAACCTAAATTCTGGAAGCTACCCACAGTTGGTTGTAAGATGGGTATATTATAAATTTTATTTATTTTAAATAAATAAAATTAAATAAAAATAAAGCAAATAAAGATCACTTCCTATCACTGCTTTAATTTCAGATGGAAGACATGTAAATTTTCTTGGGTCTTTGGGAAAAGAGGTGAAGTTATCACTAATTTTCCTTTTACAAAATAGCTACACAAAATCTAATTTAACCAAAAGTTAATATTCTGTTGCTATACCAAGTTGTCTAATAAACCTGTCTCAGTTATGCTTTTCTATTTTTCTGAAAAGATGGTAATTATTTAACATGAGACCTATTGTATTAGATATTGCATTACTTTGCTGTGATTAAACAAACCTCACGTGGCAGCCAATTTATGGTCATGCCCAATGATTTTCCAAGTTCTAGTCCAAATAGAAATAAGGCCTAGTGAACTAGTATCATTTTTCTTGTAAAATGCAGTGCCTTTCTTAGTAGCCTTCAAACTGAACAGCCACTTCTTAACCAGATTATTAGTTTTTATTATTACTAGAGTGTATGTATAATTTCTGGATTTAGCCGTTGCATGTTTTAAAAAACAAAACTCTTAGGTTAAATCTGAAGAACTATTGTCAGTTATTCTTTGTGTAACTGGCAATCTAAGTTCATAGTTTTTTGAATGAAGAAAATTGAGCAGCACTTACTTTCTCTCTCAAGCGTTCCAGTTTAGCAGCCATTTGTGCTTCTCTGTTCTCTTTGATAGCTTCCATTTTGTGAGTCAACTTTTCCTCTGCCATTTTACTAAAGTTGTTATTTTCTTCAATTGCCTTCTGCAGCACCTCTTTTTCATGCTCTCGCTTTTCAGCTAGTTGCTTCAAAACTTCAGCTTCATGGGACTAGAATATAAATCCATTTTGTATTTAGCTGAGAGTAATCTATATACAATTACAGTTCTTATCTAGGTTAACATTACCCTCATATCATTAATATGATCCGGTAAATGGTTTGACAGATTAATTTAAATCAAGCAGTCCCACCCTCCGCAATCATATTAATTTTATCAAATTTCTGAAATTCTTAAAAATCTTAGGAGCCATGTTCAAAATACCTAGTTTTGTTAGAATTACTTGCACCACAATTGCAACTATTAATTCCCATTCAATTAAATAGGAAGTACTGAAACAGCTACAGCAAGATACATTTCTTAATTGCAGTTTACAATACTTATTTATGGTCAACTATTAGTTGCTAAGAGTTTAAACAATCCACTTTTCATTGGCACATAGACATATGAAAATAGAATAGTATATATTTACCTTTCGTCTTTCTTCTGCAGCTTCTAATTTCCTCTGAATTTCTTCCAATGAGAGATCTTTTTTCTTTGGAGGAGATAGAGGAAATTCTGGAACAGCTTCTTTTGGAGGAGGACCAAGTATCAATTCAAATGCCTGGCCTGAAGCACGTTTTTCTAGTTCTTTCACCTGCATGTCTAGATGAGATATTGTTTAGTTAATATTCTGAGTCATATTCTGAGTCTTGTCAGACTTTAAAACCTGTTATATTGGCTGATTGTGGCTACCCCACCTGCCCAGGGCCTTCACTTTATGGAAACAATAAAATCCACATACTTGTCAAAGAAAAAATTGCTAGATTCCTTACAGAAAACAAAAAGAATTAAAGCT